AGAACTGAACATTCTAGTTTTGCCTCTCCCATCTTGACCTGACCATGGGCAGGTTCAGGAGAGGAGTAAGGGGATTGTGGCCACACTTCCTTTGGCTGTGAGGAACATGCAATGAGCTCTTGGCTAGTCAGTGAGGGCTCTTGCTGGCCTTTGTCTTTGCAGGGAGCCCTTTGAGCATGTCATCTGGGCAGCATAGGCTCTTGCCACTACTTTAGTGAAGCTTCAGGGCTCAGGCACTGCAACCATTTTGCCTGACCAGATCACCTGGCACAGCAACCTTCCTTGTGCCAAATTTGGGGGAGGGGGAAAGGAAGGGTAAACAGTGGCGGTGCTTACCTTCTGGGATTCAGAGCCATATGAAGGCCGCGGCTCCAGAAACAGCCTTACCAACCAGCTGAAGAACCAGCTCTGCTCCTTGCATAGACAGAGCTCCAGCAGGAGCCCATGCTGGGAGCTGAGAGAGCTCATTGCATATGTGGAGCACAGCAGAAGAGTGGTCTGACTCACCTTCCCCTGGGATCCACCCCTTGACCTGATTCTGTGGTCATTGACATGCCTCTTCTAAAAATGAAGAGACAAAACAGGTAGCATAAAGCTGCCTATTTTACTCTTATGCCGTGAGTTCTGGTTATCCTCAGGAATGAAATTTCTGGCCATGCTATGCTGATCAGACCAGGTGTCAGGGATTGAGTCTCTTGCACTTCTCTTCCAAAAGTCTTCCATGGTTTTTGAGCATGTTTTCTCTCTTGGCTTCTGGCCTGGGTGTGATTTCTGTCTTGGCTTTTCTCTTGGCTTCTTGCCTGGGTGTCATCTGGTCTTGGAATCTGAACACCTCCCAGACTCTACCTTTCTGGAATATGTCTAGCTTTTGGACTTTTAAGATTAAATTTTGCACTATCCAGCTTCAGACTCTTTGACACTGCATGCAAAGAGTGAAAATCAAAGGTCTCTCTGATGGAATTCAGGATATTTAAAGAAGTGTAACTTGTACTGTTTTCAGGTTCTTCTATACACATTTTACAACAGTGTAGGTTCTTCCTTGGGCTAAATAGCTCTTCCTTAAATTTAGAGCTGCACTTACCAATAATGAATATACATTCTTCTTCTGATACATTACTTTTTAATTTGGCCACATTGAGCATAAATTGGTATAACTTGCACACAACTGGGACTAGAAAAAAGACTGCAGCAAACAGGAGAGTGTGATTGAAAAAAGACTGCCACAATTTAACTGGCTCCTAAGTTTCCAACTCCTTGGTCTATCAATGCATCACTTTAAATCCCTTTAGACTCCTTTTTGCAGTGGTAAACTGTTTAAGTACCTATAAGGACACCAGGCGGTTTAGGTTGTAGCCGTGTTAGTCTAAGGACATAGGCAGACAAGGTTCCTTGGGTGAATTTGATATCTTTTATTAGACCAACCCAAATAGTTGGAGAATATTTATTAAGCAAGCTTTTGGGTTCAAAAACCCTTCATCAGGCTAAGGAAGCTTCAGCAGTTGGTGCGTGCTCTTCTTGGATGGAATGAAAAGTAAAGAAGCCAGGGGCTGGGCTGGGGAGTCAGTTGCCAGCAGATTATAATGTATCAAAAATCCAATGTCTCTGTTTAGTCCATGATCTCTAGTATCCAGGACGTTGATGAAATGGAGCTCATAGGCTCGTCTCTGGGAAGTGTTGTGTAAGTTTCCCTTGGGGATCAGGACTAAGAGATTGGAGAGAGAGTGGCCCTCCTGTGAGAAATGTGCCCCCACCAGTAATTGGGTGTTTCTGTCTTTGATGGATTTCCGATGTGCATTCATTCTGGTGCGCAGTTGTTGTTTGGTCTCTCCTACATATCTTCCATCAGGGCATTTGGTGCATTGGATGAGATGTATTACATTTCTGGAGGTGCAGCTGTAAGATCCTGGGATGCTGATGGCTCTGTTGTGGGGTGTAGTAATAGTGGGGGTGGTGGAGATGTGTTGGCAGGTTTTGCATTTCTTGTCCTGGCACGGTCTGGATCCTTTTGGTGTGTTCTGGGCTTGAGGAAGTTTGCTTCTGGTGATGAGGTTGGCGAGGTTTGGTGCTTGTTTGAAGGCTAGGATGGGTGGCTCTGGGAAGATCTTTTTAAGAATAGGGTCTCTGTCTA